AAAAAAAAAAAAAAAAAAAAAGTGGTTGAATAAGCAACAATAGGCCAACATTTTAGGTTTGTTTTACTAAATGAAAAAGCTAAATAAATCGGTTTTGTGTGAACTGTTAATAAAACATTCTGTTTTTCAGCAACATCTCTGGACTATCCTTCTGCCAAACTATGCTTCCAAGTTGTTTTTTCATCTTTTTTGAGAGAAGGCTAAGCTAAGCAGTTATTACGCATAAGTAAAAGGAAAAACACACATGAGATAACCAAAGAACAATCACCAAATAAATGAACATTAATAAACAATCAAAAGCGATGCTTAGACAAAAATTTCCTTTGCACTATTTATTAGTTTTAGTCTTTTCATCTGCTTGACAATTAGAAGTTTTTTTTTCAGAACGAATAGACAAATTTCGTAGACTATTAATCTAATGTCTCTGAAACAGTAATTAGCAGAGCTTAACTGCAAAAGGCTAACTGTGATAAACAAGAATCACCTGCACCTATTTTAAACTGCCTTAAAAAGTGGTTTAACACAAAAAAAAAATTATGCAAAAGATTGTGGATTAAATCTTACAATTTTTTTTGAACAGTTTCTTTCACAGATTAAACACATTCTGATCACCGGTTACGCAAAATTTGAGGGTTATTCTTGAGTGCCATTAGAAAATAATTGGCGAATTTTATTGACCCAAAACTTTGCATTTTATAAGAGACATCTAAACTAATTTTTGTTATTCTGAAAAGACTATATTAGTGTTTAAGGTTCTAATCTGCAAAAAAAAAGTCTCTTTTGTCCATAAAATTGTAGATCTGTTTAAACGATACTTTAATTTTCAAAAAAATTTTTTTATGGCCAAAACTAAAACAGTCTGCAAAAACTGCATTTCACACGACCGATAATAGAAATGTTTAAAAGTATAAAAAAGACTAAGTTGATAAAACTGTAACCTTTTTTTATAAGATACCCTACCCAGTTGATACAAATACACTAGGCAAATTGAGCTATCGATCAGGCAGCAAATAAAAACTGAAAAGATGTCATAACATTTAGTATTTCTAAAAGCAATACTGAACATCTTTTTTTGACTTGGCATTGAAATAATTTTCTGGAAAAATCCTATAAAACATCAAGTAAATTACAGTAAAGATGTATTCTGTAAAACGTGTGGATTCTAAATTAAAAAAAAAAAAAAAAAAAAGGCTTGTAAAGTCGTATGTAAATGAAATCAAACACTGTCGAAATGAACTAACATAACATCAAATGTTGCGATAACAAGAATTTGGAAGATCTATTGGTAAAATTTTAAAGTTTTTTCTTTTCACTTATTAGACTTTTTAAATAACTCTGCAAGCAACTAAGACTGATTGAGTAATTCTAGACTTTTATATGTTCAAACAAAAAAAAAAATTAGAAATTAAATAACGCCTGCAAAAGATTTCTATAAAAGTTTTTATTTTGGTAATGCTAATTGTTTTATGCAGTAATACTTTTTTTCAGAGCTTTTCAAATCAAAACTGTCGAAACCGATAGGATTAACACCAAGAGGTTTGTACGTTGTCTCGTATGTTGAAGTATTTTATACTAATGAAAACTGAATGTTTCTTTTATCGAAATTATGCAGAAATGTGCTTTCTCATTATACTTAAAAAGAAACTGAAGTTTTTTAATTTATTTGTTTTTTCTGCCTCAAATTAGAGTAAACAGCTGGACCAAAAACTTAAGTTTTAACCAAAACAATTCTACAATTATCTGCCACTGCTCTATACCCACAGATGTATGAAGTTGAACCTTTAGACATTACATTTTTTTTTAAACATTCTGTTTGATAAGTCAATACCATTTCTTTTTTTGATTTCATCTAATAAAATTAACTAAAGTATTATCAGCTCCAAGCGTAGACAAAATAGTGTATTGTTATCTGTGTTAGTTTTCAGAAAATCTTTTATTCTTGCAAGAAGACATTGAAGTAAAAAATCGCACATAACTGATACATAGAACTTTGTTATATCACACCAAAAAAATTTTTCTGACAAAATTAGGAATATCAGATGAAAGAAAACGGCAAACAAAAGCGCATCTTTTTACCGTTATATCGAAAAAAAAGGGCACTAATATAATTTAAAGATAGCGGTAATTAAAAGACAAAAAGAAACAAAAACAGACAGTGCTCCGAAACGGAGAAGAAATAAAGCAAAAAAAATGTGGAATCTTATCAAAACTATTAGAATTACATTAAACAAATACAATGGCAGCAATCAAATGTAATCCACAAAAAAAAGGAAGAAAAATTTAAATTTTATTTACGCTGAATAACTCTATGCTGCCCATTTATGCGAACTTTTATTCAACAAGCATAAACAGTCTATTCTGTTATTTTATCAAATATTTTCTATGTTTTTGAGCTTTATTCAAAAACTGGTAAACTTTGCAAATTAGTTTGATTATTTGGTAACATTCCAACCTCATTTATTTATACAGATAATAACGTAGAAGATAAATAGCATTAATTATTGACAGAAAAAAAAAAAAGGCATAGTTGCTATACTGAGATCGGAAAACTGATTGCACTTTCCAGCCAACTTTACAGTAAAAAAATTCTTTTTTAGAAAAA